GTGCTTAGAATAAACAGACGATATCGTTCGCTGGTGTGGACGCTAATATAGTTATCTTTATAGTTATCGTTCTTGGTGTGAACGGGGCTTTAGTGTAAATAGACTCTCCGTTTTAGATATCCTGTAATATTTTTTTTAATAAACAATATTATTAATAAAAATATTACACATTTAATAATATTATAAATAAAATAATAAATCCTCTAATATTTATGAAAACTAATATTTTTTTAAATCTTATGTCTTCAGGTTTGGGTCAACTGTTTTCTCTCCTAAAACGGGTATCATCCTCAACAACGAGCTAGTTGACTTCTGCGGCCGAGCAGATTCTGTCACACCAGGTGAAGATCATTCACCAAATATATCTTCTTACATTTTGCATGGCTTGAAACTTCTTGTCACCATATTGTCTGTTTTTTTCTCTCCAGGCGAGCAGCCTCCCTCCTCCATGGCTCCTACCATCCTGCAGTCCCAGAAGAAGACTGTAGTGATTGGTGGATCAGGAGGAAGTTTTATCACCACAGCCATGGCGCTGGTGAGTCAAACTCCATTTGAAATAAGTTATTTGGTTATCAGTGTTCAGCCTATTTTATGAAGTACACAGCCTTAGCTGACCAGCACTAAATATTTTATATATAACAGCACACAACCTCTATGAGCCCTTCCAGTCTGGCTTTCGTCCATTACACAGTACTGAAACAGCCCTGGTTAAGGTCCTTAACGATCTTCTCTTAGCTTCTGATTCTGGTGCTCTTAGCACTCTTCTTCCGGACAAATAATCAAACGCTATGGGTTTAACTTCCACTGTTATGCAGATGACATTCAAATTTATTTTAGCGCACCTTCCACCTCAGTGTTTCCTCTGCCTGCATTAACAAATTGCATCAAGGAACTCAAGTTTTGGCTGGAGGCAAATTACCTTAAATTTAACTGCTAAAACTGAGGTAATTCTGATTGGCTCTAAAGCTGTAGTATCTAAGCTCTCTGGTCAACTGATGGATCTGGTTGGTGATCTATATATATATATATATATACACACACTATACCAGTCAAACGTTTTTGAACAGTAAGATTTTTTATGTTTTTTAAAGAATTCTCTTCTGCTCACCAAGCCTGCATTTATTTGATCCAAAATACAGCAAAAGGAGTAATATAGTGAAATATTTTTACCATTTAAAATAACTGTTTCTATTTGAATATGTTTTAAAATGTAATTTATTCCTGCAATTTCAAAGCTGAATTTTTAGCATCATTACTCCAGTCACATGATCCTTCAGAAATCATTCAAATAGGCCTATTCTGATTTGCTGCTCAAAAAATTTATTATTATTATTATTATGTTGAAAACAGAGTAGAATTTTTCAGGTTTCTTTGATTAATAGAAAGTTCAGAAGAACAGCTTTTATCTGAAATATAATTTTTTTTTTGTAACATTATAAATGTCTTTATCGTCACTTTTGATCAATTTAAAGCATCTTTGCTAAATAAAAGTATTAATTTCTATCATTTCCCAAAAAATACAAATAAAAAAAAATTTAAAATAAAAATACTGACTCCAAGCTTTTGAATATGTATAATGTTACAAAAGCTTTTTATTTCATATGAATGCTGATCTTTGGATTTTTCTATTGGATCTTTCTTACCGTTCAAAACATTTTGACTGGTAGTGTATGTATGTAGCCTATGTATCACACTCATATCACATCTTGTTTTGAATAAGAATAAAATGTCAGGTCCGACAATATCCTGTCTTTTTTTATTTAAATCTAGCTTTATTCGCATTGGCCCATGGAAACCTCTATGAACACACTTGACTTGGCTAAAAAATCGCGGGGGACGAATTTACGTTTTATTAAAAAGTGTTTACGCATTCAATCATGGCACGCAGCCGCGCACACACATCAGGATAGGCTAGATGCCTGCCTTCGTTGCGAGTCCCTATCAAGCACTTTACCAATTCAACTACTCTCTTCTTCTCCTCCTGCCTTGCTCTTTGGCCCGCATCACTCACCGCAGAGCAAGCCTGTTCTTGATAAATCTCCTGTGAAAACGTAGGAAAAGCCGACGAGGAAGAAGTTGGGGTGATGCAATCTTTATATAGGCGGAGCAAAATACTTCATCGCTCCGTCTATAGCGCATTGATTGGATGTTTACGCTGTCAATACAGGAGACAAATCAATGGGCTACTGGCTGCTCGCTGTCCCTGCGTGATGGTTTTCGACAAAAAAACATTCTGTTGGCCCCTTAAGTGCGTCGGCCCACCGGGAAAATGCCCGGTATGCCCGATTACCAATCCAGCCCTGCCCTCCACTACAGTTCGCAATCTTGGTGTTCTCATAGATTCCACTCTTTCATTCAATGATCACATTAGTAAAGTAGTAAAGACAGCTTTTTTCCACCAACGTAATATCTCGCATATTCGATCCTCTCTCAGTCAGCAGGATGCTGAAACTGTTATACATGCCTTCGTCACATCTCAACTAGATTACTGTAATTCACTTCTTTATGGCCTGTCAGCTAATAATATCAAACGACTACAATATGTTCAAAACTCTGCAGCTCGCTTGATTACCCACACAAGATCACCTTCACTGGCTTCCGGTTTCCTTGCGCATAAACTACAAGATACTAATTCTCACTTATAAAGCTCTCCATAACCTTGGTCCTACATATTTATCTGACTTACTTCTGCCTTATTTTCCTGCCCGCTCATAATCTTCTAGTGAGGGAAACTTAGTCACCCCTAAGTTTCGTCTGGTGACTATGGGATCTAGAGCTTTCAGTGTTGTGGCTCCCAGATTGTGGAATGCTCTTCTAAATAAACTATTATTTTGATTGTATTTTATTTTCCAATATAATATCTATTTCTTTCTTTTTTATTGCATGTCCATAGTCTTACAATCTAAAAAATGTTTTTGTAATCTTTTTGCAAAATCTAATAATTTGCTCCACCTTGATTGTCTGGGGTAGTCGACAGCATGCCACAGATGCAGTACAGTGATATCCTGCTGTAAAGAACCAAATTTAGTTTAATTGTTGCATTAAAATTTGTATCAAAATATCAAATATAAAATTGTCTGCATTAAAAACTATTGTATGCGGTAGTTGACAGCATGCCACAGATTCAGTACGGAGATGTCCTGCTGAAAATAACCTGACAAACCCTCTTTAACGAACATCCCCTTGTTCTTTTCCTATTTCAGTCCATTATGAACCACTTGTGGCTTGGGATGAACCTTAACGAATCTATTGCTGCTAAAATAGTATTTGTGGACTCCAACAACAATGTCCAATTTGAGCATGGATACGACAGTGTAAGTCTTTTGGAATGTAGGTCTGCTCTAATATTATGAAGTTACCATGAATCACAATCCCATAATCCCATGTTGATAGTGTGGCCGTAATGATTGTAATTGCTTTTACCTCCTCTTAAAATGCTCCCGGTCACTGATTATAATCATAATTTTATAAAACAGGTAATCAAACGTGACTTAGTAGTAACATTTTGTTCTTTTCTTCTTCTCAGTCTTCTATCGATGCAATGCAAAAGATAGGACACATCGTGAAGAACAACACATACCCATTTTTCAATGTGGTCAATGGCATCTCGAAAGAAGGGCAGTGCATCAGTGCCGTATCTGACGCCAGGAAGATCGGCAGGTCAGCGGGATACTGACCCTGCCTCTGTTTGTGCCGGCAGCTGTTAGAGACTGGTGTAGTGATTCATCAGGCCTGGGATGAGTGAGGGTGGAAACAAAGGGTCTGCGCTCTCTTTCAGCGATGCCTGTAGACACCATAAATTCAAATATGGGGTGATTGTGCACAATGGTGTGCATTTGTCCGTCCATGTCCACTTTTGTTGTTACAGTAACATTTGAGTGCATGTAAATATATTTTATAATCAAACGTGACTTAGTAGTAACATTTTGTTCTTTTCTTCTTCTCAGTCTTCTATCGATGCAATGCAAAAGATAGGACACATCGTGAAGAACAACACATACCCATTTTTCAATGTGGTCAATGGCATCTCGAAAGAAGGGCAGTGCATCAGTGCCGTATCTGACGCCAGGAAGATCGGCAGGTCAGCGGGATACTGACCCTGCCTCTGTTTGTGCCGGCAGCTGTTAGAGACTGGTGTAGTGATTCATCAGGCCTGGGATGAGTGAGGGTGGAAACAAAGGGTCTGCGCTCTCTTTCAGCGATGCCTGTAGACACCATAAATTCAAATATGGGGTGATTGTGCACAATGGTGTGCATTTGTCCGTCCATGTCCACTTTTGTTGTTACAGTAACATTTGAGTGCATGTAAATATATTTTGTATGTCAGGGAGACAGGGGCTAGTTGTCACACAGAGGAAGGCTTGCATCTCAAAAACCACACTGGCATTAATTTAGGAAAGAGTCAACTATATAATGAAGGTAGATTTTATCTGATAGGCTGAACTGTGTTGGTAGGACATTTTTTTTTGACCATAAATGTCAGGTTGGGGCAAGTTGTTGCACATGGTATAGAGTGCTGCAGCGATTATGTATTTTTGTAGGCCAACCCAGAAAGCCTTGACAGAAACCCAACTGGATTTTTCCACTTGCTTTTGGATAATTGCAGAAAATAAGCTCTGTGACCAACAAAAGCTTATGATTCTTACACATTTTGTTCATCTTCACAAATAAACTTTTATATATTTTGAAGCCTAAATACAATCGGCAGAAGTATAAAGGTGCTTGCACACTGCGTAGTAGGAACTTAGTTCTAGGAACTAGCCAACAGGGTCGTTCCTAGAGAAACAATTTCCCTCTCAGGCTGTTTTTCTGGTTGCATTCGCACTGGCAGCAGGGACTCTGAAGCAGCCGACAGCAACGTCTTTATTCACGCCATTTACAAACCTCAACAACCAGTGAACAGAGGACACAGTGTTCTGAGCTGTTTTTGTTGTGTGTCGTGGGTTTCACGATGGCGGAGATGGAATGTAAATGCACAATTTACGCAATTGAAAGAGCATGAAAATCTGAAGTAGGAATCTGAATCTGAAATAGGAGCTAAATTAATTCCCCCAAACGGAGTTCCTAGAACTAAAACCGTTCCTAGTTCCTGCAGTGCAAACATGCAAAAAAGCGGGAAATTCCGCCTAGGAAAAAAGCAAAATGCAAAAGCGTTTTATTATAGTTAAACGTAGGCTATAAATGAACTACACCACCGTCATTAAGCTTCAGACAACTCTGGGGGAAAAAAAATTTGAATATTTTGCAAGAGCATGATTAGAAACACAACCAGGCTTCAAAAGTGGACTAGCGAGTAGATGAGATTTCCTGTTCGATGTGATAACGTTTAATGTCCCCGACCATATCTGTAGTCCCATATAGCCACTTTTTGTACTAAGCGATGTAGCCTATTTTATGTCGTAGAATAAAACATGAAAATATCTTGAGTTTGTGTTCACCACAGACCTTATTTCTGGCATTTAACCAGAAACCCTTATGGACAATGAAAATGCTAAATCATTTCCAGGTTCTAGTCTACAAAAATACACCATCCCAGCAGCAGTCTACTTGTTGTTGTTTTTTTTTTTTTTAAAGAAGCTGTATTTTTTGTCCTGGCCAGTAATTATGGAAATGTCAAGTAACTTTTTTTGTAGCCAAATCTTTTAACTATGTACAAAAACTGTCATCATAGCCATTTTCAGATTATGTACAAAGAAGCACTTAACATCATCCAACACTTTTTCATGAGAACTAACAGCGATTAACTTGAGGTCAATGTTTCTAAATGCATCTTACTGAACCTATTCCATTTTTAAAGGTGTTACTGTAAATGTTGGGAATAACTGTGTTACAAAAAAATCGAAATGTGAATGTCACCAAACTGAATGAGATACTGCAATTACGAAATTATTTGAGCAATTATTGTTTTATTACTTGTGAATATGTTCTAGTTTTCATATGCACTTTTTATATTTTCCATAATGATATTTTTATAAACAGCATCATATGTTGGTTGAACTTCAATCATAAATATTTTATACTTTTCTACTATTTTTATATTGTTTATTGGAGCTGTACAGACATTGAAGTTGATGGATATTCAGCATGACCATGTCCCATGATGCACCAGAGGACTACAGAATATGACATATTAACAATCGCATTTAAAGGCACAATATGTAATTTTCACCGCTGGAGGGCGCGTATTGAAAATAAACAAAGAGGCAAAGGCATAGTTTGATGAGGCCGTGACTGAGTGTGGAATCATGGGAGTTGTGGTCTTCATCCTCACAGCCGATGCAATCCGACGGGACTCGGGCAGAAATCATGTTCATGGATGAGCTAATGATTTGTTAACGTAGTAGAATGAAGCAGGGTGAGGCTGAAAGCCGTCGAAGCGAAACGAGGCCGCCGAACGAGCGTGACACACGGCTCGAAAGCAGCAGAGCTTTTATTATGCCACAGTCGACCGCTTCCGATATGCATTATTAAAACATGCAAATGATCCTCATTGGCGCGGGAGGCACACAAAGGGATGAATTCGTTTCTCTTTTGTTTTTTATACACGGGTTAATCACAGCTCTTAACTCTTACCTCACTTTCTGTTGTTTCTTGCTCAAAACAGTCATATTTTAGTTCTTCGTGAGTGTTTTCCATCCTCTGTGACCCAACGGCACGTGTTCCAGGGTTGCCAGGTTTTCACAAGAAAACAGCCCAATCGCTACTCAAAACTAGCCCAATCCGTTTCGAGGGGGTCCCCAGTTAAAAATCCAGTTCCGGGGGGAATACATGTTTTTTTGGTGGGGTTCCCCTGCTAAAATTCGCATTGCAGGCAATAAATATCATGTTAATGGAGTCACTTCAACCCGCGGACATGATAAACAACCAGCAGCAACAGTGTTAAAGTAGCCTAATTCCGCGGGGAAACCGCGGACTTGGCAACACCTGAAGTGTTCGCACTGGCGCGAAATACACCCGCTCAAAACGCTCGACTGACGATGTTGCCGTTTTGGGGGCGTGTCTGTAAATTGTACGTCGATCATTTTTTGTTCGCGGTCAACAAGATCAATAACCAACAATATACAAGCACATTTATGCAAACGTCCAAATTTTCATATGGTGTCACTTGAATACATTTTTATTAACCCAGCCAGTCTAGCCATACAGTAATAGCCCAGTCAGGTAGCCTAGCACTGTATTTAATTTTTGACAGGAATTTTGTAGGCTGAGAGAAATGATTTTATTGCTTAACAACATACCGAAAATTGCATAAAACAGTTTTTAATGTTAGAAAGTGCGTTATGAAAATATGTATACATATCTTTATTTGACCCTCTTAACTCTAGCATTCTCTATTCTAATTCTATTCTTTAAAGAAAAACTCTATTCATTTACTAACTGCTTGTTTTCTTTAAAAAAAAAAACCTAACAATAGCTTCTCTAATCTTTTTGTATTCTATCTATTTGTTTTCTTTTTATTTATTATACAGTTAACAAAAGCAAAAAAGGCCTCTAATACTAGCTTGCTCTATTCTTTTTCTATTCTATCCGTTTTCATTTTATTTATTATTTAATAATAATAAAAAAAACCTTGCTACGTGTACTGCGTTAAGCTAACTGAGACGTGTTATAGCACTTGCATATCATTGCTCTTTTGTTGGTTTTGATTGCTTCCATCCATTGTCCTCATTTGTAAGACGCTTTGGATAAAAGCGTCTGCTAAATGACTAAATGTAAATGTGTAGTTAATGTAATCTGAGTTAGCACAATATGGACTTTAACACAAAAGTGAAAAAAATGTCCCCACATTGATTTTGTAACAGGTTCAGAAAGCTGCTTGGTTTGAAAGAGACTTCTGTGCGAACCGTGAGCACCATACATCATTACATTGTTGATAATAGACAATGGACCTTTTTTGCGTGCAAAATCTTGTCTAAATTTGCATTCAGGCTGAGGTGAACCTTTAAACTCAATATTATTTGCCATAGCCTTGCAGTTTGTTGACTGGATGTGAATGCAGCAGATACCAGCTTTCTTCAACCACCATAAAATCATTAGCAAACCAATGTCTGAACCTGTCTTCTGGGTCTAGTCTCAAACTGTGTTCCACCTCAAAAATGAGACAAAGTCTGGGCTGTGCTCTGGGCTAAATGGTGGTGCCGTTGTAGCGACGAGTGCCACGTGACAGGGCTTTATTGTCAGCCCCTATGGGAGGGCCGGGAACAGTGAAAGAACCTGACCTTTTCCTAGCAACATGAACCCAACAGCTCTCAAAGCCACCCGACGGGAACAAACGCCCCCGAAACGCACAAGACAATGCTAAAATATTGGTAAATGAAGAGGCATGGACTTTGCTCAAAACATGTCCATGTACTTGCGTAGAGCTTGCTATATGAAAACATGATCTAAACAGACTTCACAACGTGACCTTTAATAACAGCTATGATATGAGCTGCTAACGACAAGCTTTGAACTTCTGTTTAAAGTGCAAATCAGCTTTCCTTTTTGGAGCGCAGAAGCTGAAATATCTTGCGTCTGGCCTCAAAACTGTGAGTTACTGAAATAAATGGGTCACAGAGGCCACAAAAATGGAGACATTTTAGCATCGGATGGTTGTGAACTAGAAAAATGCATAGGTAGTTTATTTGGTGTTAGCCATGTTTGACCAAAGTGATATTAGTGCCTGGATGCTAATAGCATACTTCCAAAATACTTCAAGGGCACATATTCTGCACCTTTGTAGCAGTTTATATTTTAAGCATTTTTACCAAAAAATCCACAATGTCCACATGTATAATATGTTTATAACATTTTATTTCATTCTTACAGTTTTTGGTTTGGCACACATTACTTGTATTTATTTATTTATACATTTATACAGTATATACATACATACACTGGAGAA